GTTGTCTTGAGAGATACAGGAAAAATTCATGTATCAAAATTGAAGTAATAACCGAGCTTCACATTTTAAAATTTCTTTGAAATACACAGGGTGTTCCGTAAAATCACAGCACATCAAAGTTATGTTTTTTTCATTGGAACACCCTATATTTTATTTCATTTTTGAATTCTCCCTGAAGATCTGATTTCAACGACGTATCATACTTAGGGTCTAGCAGTGAAAGTTACTGACATATAGGGTGTGCAAAATCGAGATTTTCCAAGTTCAGGATATTTTTCTGTCGAAACTGTTCATTATTCGTCAAAACGGTTTACATGTCCCTATCTCAACTTTTCACTCACTATCAATTGGTGTTCAATTGACATTTAATTGAAACAAATTAAAAATTTAGATTTTTTGACCACCTTGTATCAATTTCAATTGAACACCAATTGATAGTGAGTGAAAAGTTGAGATAGGGACATGTAAACCGTTTTGACGAATAATGAACAGTTTCGACAGAAAAAAATCCTGAACTTGGAAAATCTCGATTTTGCACACCCTATATGTCAGTAACTTTCACTGCTAGACCCTAAGTATGATGGGTCGTTGAAATCAGATTTCCAGGGATAATTCAAAAATGAAATATAATATAGGGTGTTCCCATGAAAAAAACATAGCTTTGATGTGCTGTGATTTTACGGAACACCCTGTGTATTTCAAAGAAATTTTAAAATGTGAAGCTCGGTTATTACTTCAATTTTGATACATGAATTTTTCCTGTATCTCTCAAGACAACAGAGAAATCGAACTCTGGAGTCTTAGTTGGCCACCCTGTACATTTTGGGTAATTGTTTCCACCTCGAAAAAACTCACATTGGTTGCTCATTTCGCACGTGCTGGTGAAAAAATCGCACATGGACGGTCCGAGACTGCAGCGAGAAGTCGCGTGTTGCGCGTCTCCGTCGGCGTCGCGACGCTTCCCGTCTGCGTCGGTGGAGCGTCCGCAGCGTCGGCCGGCCATCAACTGGTGGATATTTCTGTTTGGATCGTGAGGCCACAGTGAGGCCGACTAGCGTCTAGAGACAGGACGCATCAGATATTGCCGCGTGGAGGGGAGCACGTAATAAGGTAATAAGAGGATGGAAAATATCGTTTTTCTGAAATCGACACAAAAGTCGTTCATTTTGATACCAAAATTAGCTCTTTTTTTATCGCTTGGAGCGCACGAAAGGGAATCCCTAAAATGTTCAAAGAACGTCGTGTGTTCCTATAGGGAGGATAGGGACAGGAGGTAGGTATTGGATTTTTTTGAACTTCTGGAGATTATATATGTTGTTGGGAATACTTCCTCAGGCAATGAATTCCAGAGCCTATAGTCGTTCTATGGATGGAGGAGTTTTGTTAAAGTGCTGTTCGACATCTTTCGAGGTTGACAACGAAAGGATGTGCTGACTGATGGGCTTGTCTAGTTCGTCTGATTGGTATTGCTAGTGAAGGAATGATAGCAGAGATTTCCGAAGAACATTTTCTGTGGAAGTATCGATAGAAAAGTGAAAGGTCGCCGACCTTTCTACGGTGTTCCAATGATGTCAAAGAGTGAGTGAGTGTGGCGTCACCCACCAGGCGGATGGCTCTTCTCTGGATGGAATCTAAGAGCATCAGCGTATGTTTTGGTGCTGAACCCCATATGTGGGAACAGTATTCTAGAACAGGCCGTATCTGCGCTTTGTAAATCATGAGAAGCTGTTGAGGTGTAAAGTAGCTTTTCGCACGGAACAAGAATCCGAGTTTTTGTGGAGCAGCTTTTGCGATGGATCTGATACATGATTATCCCATTAAGAGTGTTGCTGATGGAAATACCGAGCATAGAAATGGTGGGCTTGGTGGGGATGGTGGAGCCAGACAATACAATATCGGGTATGCTGAGTTGAATTGACGTTTCTATTACTGACACAAAAATTGTTATGTTGCTAAGCAACACATTTAGTTCCTAGGAGCTTAAGTTGAACGTTAGTTCCTAAGAGCTAAAGCTGAACTTTAGCTCCTAGGAACAAAAAAGGATGTACTATATAGAGGTCATCAATAATAAACAACATTGTTATAGTTGGTTATTTGGGTTGGGACGCATATACCTGATTTGTTTTCGATTTCGACAGATTATAGGCATTTCATACACATGCTGGAGATATAAATACACCTCAGTATAGTCATTGAGTATTCACACTAGTGTATATATAATCAAGGATATACTCAGTATTTTTGTTCTGATCAGGGAAGCCTTCAAGATTCACATACTCGTTTGATATGTATTTCATTCAATATTTTCGGGATGGATAACTCGTTTCTCAATAATCACGGCCAGCAATATTTTTTGGTCTCAAACAACGATATTGTTCACCTACCCCTAATAAACACACTTATGTCCCATGGAAATCCTTAGGACGCCCTGTCGGGACATTCCAGGACATCCATAGGACGTTCGAATTTGGTACCGTGGACGTACATTGGACGTCTGTCGGACGCACAAATGTCCCACTTGAGGATCAACTAGGAACGTCCTTGAGGGAAGTCCCTGGGACAACTATCGAATACCTAAATCCTACATCAGTATTCCTCATCAAGCACTACAGAGGACATCCTTAGGACATCCATGGGATAACCTATCAGCAACGCTGAGGGATATCAATTGGATGTCCATAGGATGTCCCAGGGACGTAAGTATTTATTCTTAAATTTGAAATTTTTCTGGGTCCCTCTGGGACCAGATCTTGCATAACTGATTAGGACATCCGCAGTTGAGTTGATGGTCCGTAGAAGGTCCCCAAAAAGTTTCCCACGGATGTCCAATGGACTTACGTGAAGGACATTAACGAGGAGTGGAGTACTTATAGCCTACGAGCAATCATTCGTCGGCGAGGTGTAATAAACGTCCTCGCAGGGACAACATATTGAAAGTACCGACTGGGACGTCCATAGGACATTGGAAGAGTATACAGTTCATGTACCAATTGGGACATCCGACGAATATCCCTAAGGGACATTCGAAGGATGTCCCTAAAAGGGACATTTCGATTATTATACGATCCTAGAAATATAGAGGGCGTCTGTGCAGAGATATTATTTGAAGGAATATACCATCAGGGACATTTCATGGTTGTCTAGAAGGGACATTATATAAGTACTGAAAGTCATGCCAAAATATGTACTACTCGGGACATCCGATAGATGTCCCTAAAGAAACGTTTAAAATCATATCCCATCAGCGACATGCCAAGGACGTCCTTGCATGGACATTCTATAATATGTACCACGTAGTGGGACGTCTAAGGGATGCTATTTCTAGGACATTTGGAATGATGTACCAGCTGGGACATTCCGTGGACGTCCTTGCTCTGACATTGCATGTAAACGGCTGTCCTCGCTGGAGTCCCACAGTTGAACACTCGGTGTATTTATTGTTCGTATTTCGTTTAAGAGTTGAAACTCAAAGGATTTCGAAACCGATTCCCACGAAATATCCTACAACGACTGCGCCACTTGAAATATTCGGGCCACGAATTTGGTATTTAAAAACTTTTATTTTATTGGCAAGTGAGTCGTACAATATCTAAGTCAATACCCAGAGCGAGCACAAAAACATCTCAGAGATGTTAAAAGTACGAGATTTCGAGACATTGAACCTCCACTGCGATGTTATGTTCACACATGAATAGAACTATTATAGAACAGCTAATGTCCGCCGCACGCGGCAATTATCGAGATGTCCTTGATATGTCACAAAACTACCTTCTCCCTAGTTCTTTTTAAAGCCTTTTCATGGACACAACAAAACATTTTCAACGCGTCTTGCGCACATTAAATCGCTGTAAAAAAACCATTTTCGAGATACTTTTCCGAAGCCTTTTGTCAAAATGAACTTTTGCATTAGGATTCCATTTCCCTCTTGAATGAAAATAGATTGAACATAAAAATATTTTCTTGATATGAAATTACCTTCTTAATCGGTTTCTGAGTAGTGCTTACTACACACAGACATATAATTGGAAATAGGTTTCCCAATTTTTGAAATGTTCTCCACAATGCATAATTTTGCAACTGCGGAGAAGCTGTGTATTGATAAATTCGTACTTTTATATATTGATTACACTGAGGCACCGAACAACACATCTTGCATCTGATGGTCATTATTACAGACTAAATAAGTCTTCTAACACAATAAACTTCACCAAATTCCTTTCTGTTCGTTAGCAGCATGATGTAAGCGTGACACGCTGCAAACGCGAATGCCAATTGCGAACAAGAAGAACAAAATCGAAAACAAATAAGAATTTATCGTATTGTGACGTAAGCATGAGACGTTGTGGTGGGGCAAACAAAGAAACACCACAAAAGAACAAAAACAATACTTTCAATATCCTTCTAGGACCTCTTTGGGAAGTGCATATTACGCCTCAAAAAAACATCCTGATGCCTACATTCCTAAAACATCCCAAGGATACCTCTCAGTAGACAAACAAAGAAATGCCACAGAAGAACAAAAACAATACTTCAATATCCTTCAAAGACCTTTTTGGTCAGTGCATATTACGTCTCAAAATAACATCTTCATGCCAACATTTTCAAAACATCCCAAAACATCCCAGGGATGTTTGTGCTCGCTGGGTACTGACTGAACTGTTCTTACAAATCGGGAATAACAAAGTTTAAATCAGCACTTCTCACGAGAAATATCAAAGTGCTGGTGAAGCGTTTTCTATTTCATGGCAAACCGTAGTGAGAATCGTTCATGTAACTCACGCGACCCATGTATGTTGATTGAGATATTGGATAGAATAACTCAAACATATAAAAACTTGTATATTTCCGTCAAGTATACATTTTAAAAAAATGAATGTATAATCAATCAAAACTCATGTATAGGTAAGCTAAAAAGAACACAATCATGTTGACAGAAAATGTGGTTAAAATAATAATGATATATTCTAACAGTAGCAGTGTATAGCTGGAATTAAGTCTTCTTACAAGAACTCCATTTCTCTCTCTATACCAACGAACTTCAGTTGTTCAGTCGGTCCATATCTAAAAAATAAAAAAAAAATAAAAATTATCAGATAATTATATACTTTTATCACTCAAGAATAATTATACTACATTCCAAGAGATTGTATATTCTTTTAACTGTGCCAAGAGGAAGAAAGTAGATGGCACTGCCTCTAAACTCTAAAGGAAAGAATAATAATAATAATATTTTTTCTGTGACCGGAAAAAAGTTTGGCATTTCATCTCTGTTGCCAGGTTATAAAATGTAACTTTTCATAAATTACTTTTTTCCCGGATATATATCACATATACATATATACACTGTTGATGGCTTTTGTTGTGCCATAGTTCCGAAAAATGAGTCAATAATACCGTCTCCGACTATCCGAGAAAGAACTGCAAGTCCTTTCATCTTCCATTCGATTTCGCGGTTACGTATGTATTACTTAACAACCACTAAATCCGCAATTTTTTTAAATCAAATCACAGAATTATAGTGACAGAAGTGACATCAGATATTTGATTACTTCAAAAGAATGATGAAGATGCCTACAACGCAGGTGTCCCTACTGTTAAAAATTTAAAATTTCACGTCGATAATTTTCAGATTTCAAAATAATGTAATATCTTCTCAATATTGATTCGTCTTTTCTTCTGTCACAGAAAAAGTAGTGTATTATACACGGGAAAAATATCAGATTTTAGCTTACGGTTTTTTGTCAACAACACAACCTGGAGCTAAAATCTACTACTTTTTTCCCTTGAATAATAAATAACTATTTTTCTGTGACGGGAAAAAAGTTTGGCATTTCATCTCTGTTGGCAGGTTATAAAATGTCACTTTTCATAAATTACTTTTTTCCCGGATATATATCACATAAATATATACTCTGTTGATGGCTTATGTTGTGCTATAGTTCCGAAAAATGAGTCAATAATACCGTCTCCGAGAAAGAACTGCAAGTCCTTTTATCTTCCATTCGACTTCGCGGTTTCGTATATTACTAAACAACTACTGAATTCGCAATTTTTCAAAATCAATCAGAATTGAACTGACAGAAGTGACATCAGATATTTGATTACTTCAAAAGAATGATAAAGATGCCTATAAAACGCAGGTGTCCCTACTGTTAAAAACTTAAAATTTCACGTCGATAATTTTCAGATTTCAAAATAATGTAATATCTTCTCAATATTGATTCATCTTTTCTTCTGTCACAGAAAAAGTAGTGTATTATACACGGGAAAAATATCAGATTTTAGCTTACGGTTTTTTGTCTCCCTCCGCTACGCGTCGGGAGACAACACAACCTGGAGCTAAAATCTACTACTTTTTTTCCTTGTATAATAAATAACTATTTCAACACCTTGTATCTTGAAAACGGATGCCGTTATGACATTTTTTCACTGAGCAAACCCAACTTATTTTGCAATGTTGTACCTACCCTAGCAAGGGGGTTAGGTTTTTTTGAAACACCCTGTATATTGGATCTCATTAGAATTAAGGGAAAGAAGATTGGAGTACAGCCATTCTTCCATTTTCTTCAAATCGTCATTATGTTTTTTTCAAAAAATAACGGGGTTTTTGTTTTCAAATAAAAGTGCTGTGTCATCTGCATATATGGCATAGTTTCCTATTGAAATTATTTGTTTACCTATAATCGAAGAAGAGCTCTTCTCCTGGCTGGATGGGCCTCTTCGCGAAAATACCGATCCTGTGATCGCCGTTCACCATCATCACCTTGGCGTAGCAATTCGGATTGATGGAATGGTTGGCGAACCTGATTTTGTTGCCTTTTCTTGTCGCGTCCACCACAAAATCTTCAAAAAAAGACATCAATAAATCAATCAATCAATCGTTTATTGGTGGTATTACACAAAAAAGTATTTACACAGGTCAAATATCATAGAGGAAGAGTGACTTGTCTATTGAAAAATATAATGTACAGGTGGGCCAAATTGGTCTCTTTTGAAGGGAAAGTACTATTCCCGTACTAGATAGAAAAAACTGATGTAGAATCCTAGAGCAACTGATGGGGAACCTTCCCAGATCACGGATAACCCAAGCACCACCATTTTATAATACAGGTATCGATTACGCTGGACCAATTCTTATCAAGGATAAAAAATCACGGGGTTATAAGTTGATAAAATCGTATATTTGTTTATTCGTATGCCTCGCTACTAAGGCAATTCACATCGAAGTTGTGTCAGACATGACTTCTGAGGCATTCATAGCTAGTCTAAGGAGATTTACAGCACGACGAGGTAATCCTCGAAATATCTACTCTGATAACGGTTCCAATTTTGTAGGCGCGAACAAGGAAATAGAAATATTTTATAAATTTTTGGAAAACGAAAGGGATAATATTACGAACAAATTATCGCTTGTAATACAACAAGTGTATTGATGATTATCGAAACGCAAATTCCTTCGATTTTGAGAAACAAATTGTGTTGCTTGGAATGTTATATCTTTGAATGGATCAAATTTTCGATTGTATTCATGATAGTATTTTTCTTGGAGTAATTTATCTGTATTATTCCAAATAGTTTTCACTACCATGTCCTTATACTCACTGCCATCGGTTTTCCGCATATTAAATGCCCATTCTGTGAGAATATTGGCAAGTCTTTCATCAGATGTATTTTCGTTTAGCTGATGATTTCGCTGTTCACAAAATTCTGTGAATTGTTTCCAAACAAATATACTTTTTGGAACGCACGGTATTTTGAGGCGTTAAGTCTTTGACTTCATTTCTTATTTCTTCTACACTATATTTACCGAAACGATTTTCACTGTCCATTTTCAAGCTATACACCACACCTAGTAACGATATTTATCAACATATAAACAGTTTTGTTTTCTTTGATTCCTTCACAACTGGCCACAGCCTTCTCAATTGAGTTTCCCGCAATCGTGATCCCGCATTCACTCTTCCTCTTGACTCGCGATCGAAGGTACTAGGGATGTTATGCAACTAACAATACATTAAAGCGTTGAATGGATAAAGCAGCGTACATCATAGGGAGAGAGAAGAGAGAGATGTAGAGATGTCACGTCAGTCGTGGTTGAAAAATTATTCCTATTTTAGGTTATATAATGCGAATCATGCTCAATCAATAATTATTTGGAATTGTCTTATAATAATTGTGAGGACAATTCAAATTGTGATAGTGCCTATTGAGTTTTGAATAGAAGTGTAGTGTTTTTATTCCCTGAACACGAATATATTATAACAGCATTTATATCCTGCTGTCATGCTACAAAAACTCAAACAGTAAGTAGCCAATCAGGTGCCGAAATACAAAATCGATAACATAGTGTTTTCGATTATCAATACAGCTGTTACAACCAATCAAAAGCGTGAATTTTCAGATGAATGAAATAATCGCGAGAATATATCACTTGGCACTTTATCCCTCCTAGGGCACCTAATTTCGGGGGGCTCTGGGAAGCAAGCATTAAACGAGTTAAAATTCATTTAAAGAGAATCATAGGAAATGCCAATCTAACGTTCGAAGAGTTGATGACTGTGTTGGCACAAATAGAGGCGATCCTCAATTCCCGACCCCTTACCCCTATGTCAGACAATCCTGAGGACTTAGATGTGCTAACTCCAGCACACTTTTTGGTTGGACGAAGATTGACATCGGTACCGGATCCTGACCAGCAGTTTTGGAAACGCTGGTCGGCGGAATACTTGGCTGAGCTACAACTGCGACACAAGTGTCAAATAGCACAAAACACCATCAAACTCGATAGCGTAGGGTAATTCACAGTGATTATTGTGCTGCTAATGACATTCTTGAACTTGATTTTGTCATATATATTCTGTTTCTACTCACATAACTAAAATGGCATTTAGCGTACGGATATGTACCACGCTAAATGATCGATTAATCACGAATTGACGATCTGTGATTTAGTCAAAATATTAAACACGTTACCATGGCAACACGATTTCATAAACACATTACCATGGCAACGCAGTTCATTAAACACAGCTTCAGGAATTCGAGACATGTCTGGCCTGTCAGTTGTATTAACTGACAACTGTTATTTTCAAATTTTGTATCAGAATTACTCAATCAATATTCGTTTGTATCAGAATTCTTCATTAAAAATATATGCGAAATGTAGACGAAAGTGAAATCGAAGAGAATGTTCTGGTACTTGCATATCTCCAAGAAGTGTAAAAATGAAACATCCATCTTTGAGAACAATTTATTTATTCTGCGCTAAGCATGATGATAAACGTGAAACAAAGGTTAGTAAGCAATGGACTAGACACATCATCTACAACCGATATCACTTATACGTGTCGCGCTGGTTGCATGCAGTTGCATGTATTATGTTCTCAATTCCCATTCCTTTCAAATTATTTTGTAGGTTAGCAGGAATAGCAGGTATGTTGATGTAACTTTCGGAGGTCGTAGAAAAAGCATAGTATGTAACGCGTTTATAAACACTTCTAGACACTCGTTTATTAAACACTCGCTCCGCTCTGCTCCGCTCGTGCTTAAAATACTCGTTACTAAAACGACGTTTATAACACTTGTTACATAATATACTATTAATCCTTTGTTTGCATGTTAGTTGTATTGATTGTATTCACATATTGTTGAAATACTACCATATTTCAAGGTCGGCGGCATGTTAAGAACTGTCAAATATTTTGTGGTCATAAATGTGACCTGGCAACAGGGTAGTACCGCTCGCAACCCTTGAGATAGAGATGAATGCCTGGACGGAAACACTCTTGTTTCGATCGCTGAAATGTTCGCATCTTAACAACGCCGTACGACAAATAAACCTTTGTCAAACAAACCAGTGCATTTTATTAGTTACAGTCCATTACAATTACAACTACATCACAACACATTAACATTCTCTGAGAGGTGATTTTTAATTATTCCACTTGTGAATAAAGTGGTACCTGTTAACCTTGATAAGTGTCGATTAAATTTCAATTATAGGGTGGGTGATTATAAATAAAATAATTTTAGTTTTTTGGCACGAATAGATTGTCTCACCGTTATTCAGGTTGAACAGGAAACTGCACATGTACTTGTCGTACACCTTTCCTCGTCTGTCCGCCTCGTCCTGAGAAATGATCTCGCCGCAGTACTCGGAAATGAACTCGTTCTTCTGAGCGCTGTCCTTCAGAAATATGCCCCATCCCGCGACGTCCGAGGGAGCCATCAGAAGATGTTTGTCTGGAAAAAAATTTAGACAAACAATCGAATTTTTTTATGCGTTCGAAAATTAGGAATGTCATTTGCTATTTTTCTGAACTGATATATTTCGTAATTCCAAAATTTCATATTTTAAGATTTCATAAATTCATAATTTCATAAGTTCATATTTCCATAATTTCATATTACCTTAATTTCATATTTTTCTATTTTTTAAATTTACTAATTTCATAATGCCGTAATTTCATAATTTCGTGATTTCATAACTTCTTAATTTCATAATTTTGTAATATCGATGTACATTCAAAAACAAAGAAAAATTCTGTCAGGGACGTACCGAGTTTTTTTCAAACGGGTTGAAAATTGATGTCATAATTTCAAAACTTTTTCGATGCCCGGTCAAAGTTGACTTTGAGCGCCGACATCTCAAAAACTATCTGTCCTATGGGGATGATTATGGTCTCATTAGATTCAGCGTGTCATTTTCTACTGAAAAAGCGATAGTTCGCGAGGATTTCTTCCGTTTTCTGGCACTTTCGGCCGTCCGAAGATGGCTCGGTGACGATATCGTATGGAAGTCTCAGGTGGGAAAATGAAAATTTTTATTTGGCCTATTAAAAATCTGAAAAAATCCACATAGACTAATTCGAAGTCGTTATAAACGAATCTGTGGTAGAAATCGGGAAATTTTGGGAAATGGAGACGTAGTAGCGTACTGGAGTGCTTCTTTTGGCAATAAAAGCGAAAAGCTGAATTTGAGCGCCGATATCTCAAAAACTATCTGTCCTATGGGGCTGATTATGGTCTCATTCGATTCAGCGTGTCATTTTATACTGAGAAGGCGATAATATGCGTGAATTTTCGCCGTTTTCTGGCACTTTCGGCCGTCCGAAGATGGCTCGGTGACAATATCGTATGGTAGTCTTAGGTGGAAAAATGAAAATTTTTATTTGGCCTATTAAAAATCTGAAAAAATTCACATAGACTAATTCGACATCGAAATGAACGAATCTGTTGTGGAAATCGGGAAATTTTGGAAAATGGAGATGTAGTAGTCTACCGGAGTGCTCCTATTGACAAAAAAGCGAAAAGCTGACTTTGAGCGCCGATATCTTAAAAACTATCTGTCCTATGGGGCTGATTATGGTCTCATTCGATTCAGCGGGTCATTTTCTATTAGAAAAGCGATAATTCGCGTGAACTTCTGCCGATTTCTGGCACTTTCGGCCGTCCGAAGATGGCTCGGTGACTATATCGTATGGAAGTATTAGGTGGGAAAATGAAAATTTTTATTTGGCCTATTAAAAATCTGAAAAAATTCTTATAGACTAATTCGATGTCGTTATGAACGAATCTTTGGTGGAAGTCGGGAAATTTTGGGAAATGGAGACGTAGTAGCCTACTGGAGTGCTCCTCTGGCAATAAAAGCGAAAAGCTGACTTTGAGCGCCGATATCTCAAAAACTATCTGCCCTATGGGACTGATTATGGTCTCATTCGATTCAGCGGGTCATTTTCTACAGGAAAAGCTATGATTCGCGTGAAATTCCGTCGTTTTCTGGCACTTTCGGCCGTCCGAAGATGGCTCGGTGACTATATCGTACTGAAGTCTTAGGTGGGAAAATGAAAATTTTCATTTGGCCTATAAAAATCTGAAAAAATTCACATAGACTAATTCGATGTCGTTTTGAACGAATCTTTGGTGGAAGTCGGGAAATTTTGGGAAATGGAGACGTAGTAGCCTACTGGAGTGCTCCTTTTGGCAATAAAAGCGAAAAGCTGACATTGAGCGCCGATATCTCAAAAATGGTCTCATTCGATTCAGCGGGTCATTTTCTAATGGAAAAGCGATAATTCCCGATGATTTCTGCGGTTTTCTGGCACTTTCGGCCGTCCGAAGATGGCTCGTACAGGGTTTGTATGGTGTAAACCTGCCTATGATGTTCCCATTAAAAAGTAGTACACGTACACATTTGGGCGTTACTCACCAGGGAATTTTGAATTTTGACACTATTTGTCAAAGTCGATACGAAGATTGATTGACACCGACTCACTTTGATGAAAAATCATGCAACTGCGATTACAGTGGCGTACAATTTTTTGCAAGGGCTCAAAAATGAAAAATCCTTATTTTGGAGTTTCTTCGATGTATGATGAAGAAAAATTTAGCAACTGCGACTACGGAGGTGTACTACTCCCGTTTCTGAGGGTCGAATATAAAAAAACGTCATTATTCCGAAATTATTTCCATGTACGTGGATGAAAAATAGAATGTTCAACTTCAGGGACGTACCTATTACTTTCCTAAAGGGGTTGAAAATTATAAATGCCATAAAGACTACTGAAATAAATAGCAATTGCGACTACAGGGGCGAGCTGAATTTTTTTCTGAGGGGGTCAAAAGTGAAAAATTTCATAATTTCGGAATTTCTGCGATGTACATTGATCAAAAATATAATCTCCGACATTAAGGACGTACCTATAATTTTCTAAAGGGGGTGGAACATTGAAAATGTAATTTCGAGAATTCTCGGATGTACTTTGATGAAGAAAATCGCAACTGGGACCTCAGGAACGTTCTTTTTTTTCTGAGGGGTGTCAAAAATTTCTTCGATGTATGTACGTTGTAGAAAAGTATAATCTTCGACTTCATGGACGTACCTATATTTTTCCAAAGGAGATTGAAAATTGAAAATGTCGTAATTTCGGGAATTCGTCGATTTACTTTAATGAAAATCGCAACTGCGACCTCAGGGACGAATAATTTCTTTTCTGAGGGTCGAAAATAAAAAGAAAACTGATATTTCGGAATTTCTTCGATGTACATTGATGAAAAATATAATCTTCGACTTCAGGGACGTACCTTTTTTTTCCAAATTGGGTTGAGAATTGGAAATGTCATAATTTCGAGAATTCTTAGATGTACTTTGATGAAGCAAATTGCAACTGCGAACTCAGGGGCGTACTTTTTTTTTCTGAGGGGGGTCAAAAATAAAAAAGTGATAATCTCGGAATATCTTCGATGTACGTTGATGAAAAATATCTTCGACTTCAAGGACGTACCAATATTTTTCCAAAGGGAGTTGAGAATTGATAATGTAATTTCGAGAAATCTTCGACGTACTCTGATGAAGAAAATCGCCACGGCGACCTCAGGGGCATACTTTTTTTCTGAAGGGGGTCAAAAATACAAAAATAAAATAATTTCGGAATTTCTTCGATTTACGTTGATGAATAATATAATCTTCGACTTCAGGGACGTACCTATATTTTTCCAGAGGGGGTTGGGAATTGAAAATGTAATTTCGAGAATTCTACGATGTGCTTTGATGAAGACAATCGCAACTACGAACTCAGGGGCGTACAATTTTTTTGAAGGGTCAAAAATAAAAAAAAAATGTGATAATTTCGGAATTTTTTCCATGTACATACGTTGATGAGATATATAATCTTCGACTTCAGGGACGTACCTATAATTTTCCAAAGGGGGTTGAAAATTGAAAATGTAATTTCGAGAATTCTTCGACGTACTTTGATGAAGAAAATCGCAACTGCGACCTCAGGGGCGTACATTTTTATTTTCTGAGGGGGGTCAAAAATAAAAAATTCATAATTTTCGAGAAACGATAATTTTGTGAAATTTCTTGTACTTACGCAGTCCCCGTTGGACGCTGACGTTCTTGCAGGTGATCTTGGAGCTGTCGAACTGATCGGCGCCGCAGGTTTGGCAGAGGTCGGGATCGCATTCGCGCACCGCCAAGTAGCAGGGGCACTGTTTGGTGTTGCATTGGGCCTTGCATCGGCAGCCGGGGAATCTGTTCTGGCCTGAATAAATCTCGTAATTTTTCTCCAAAATTTGACTTTATGTTTATTTCGAAATATTTACTTTTGCATGCTGTTCCTGGAGAATTTGAAATTTTCCTTATTGTTTCAATTTTTTTCTCTAGGAATTTCGACTTTGATCCCAAAAATTTCTTATCTTTCTTGAAATTCCGATGATCTTTTTTTTTAATCAGACGCATTTCTCGATATATCTACTTTGTTTTGGAATTTTACATAAATTGAAATCTCTGGACATTTATTCAAAATTTTCAACTTTTATGCCATCTCACAATCTCAATAATTTTCTCGAAATTCAATTTTTTTCTCGAAATGAAAATAAGTCAAATGCATCGATTATTTCAAATCCCAATAACTCGAAAACAGTTGCTTGCAGTGACCTTTACCAGGAATATATTTTTCACACAAATGTGTTCTAGAAATCTATTTTTCTACTATAAAACGTGATACAGGTACGCACAAAAAAGTTATGACTTTTCAAAAGACTCAAGAGACATGTAGGTGGCGCCACCCTTACGAAAGAGACAAACCAACATAAAATTTGATAGTGTCATTGAAAAATACCCCTAGATACCAAACTCTATTCGAATATCACAATTATTTCGGAAGAAACAAAGAACATAAATAAGAATTAACAATTCTCCTTCAACACTGTATTTCAGAAACGAAGAACTTTCGGACACATATATATATTTGCCGCACAGGTTTCGAAAAAAAAATATGAATGATGAAAGTGGCCAAGAGAAATCTCTGGAAATTATTTTCAAGTTTCCGGACAGCCCCTAGAGGGCGTAATTGCATTGGCCAAATTAATAAACGGGTTTTTATGAAAATTTGATATATCAAGACATATCAAAAACACTTTTTTCATGTTCTGGAGTTGGTTTCCAGTCATTTGTTGAAAAAAAATTGCGCTAGCTCTTTAAATGAAAGAGGGAGGGAAGGATGAATAATACTTTGAAAAAACTCCCACTACTAGAGTTTGGTGTAACGGAATTCAACGATCTTGGTCTCATTATAAAGGGTCTTTTTGGTTCTTCTAGATGAATCACGAATCAAGTCGATTTAAATCCTGTGGTGGCCGCTAAATGGCATCGTTTGAAAAATCAGACAATTTTCCATTTTTTTCGGAAATTTCAAATGGAACCAAATATTCATTCTACTCTTATATGACAGTAGAGCAAACGAGAAGAAAAATGGTGAAAACCGCGAATTGATACCTCTTGAGGAACCGGTGAAATACTCGAAATAATATTACGAAAATATTCACCACAGGAATCTAACTTCAATAATCGTAATCAGAAATATCCTAAATCTATGAAATTATGATTTCAATAATTCATTTATTTTGGTTTCACAAACTGCTGTTATATCTCACAATAGTGAAGGAGACTCTTAGTAATGACAAATGTAAGTAGTGAGTATAGGCTCAGGAATAAAAGAAACGTCAAAATATAATTGAAGTTCCATTGGAAGTTTTCACTGTGGATTGCTTATTTGTCAAGATGCCGATAACGAATGAGGAGGCATTTGACATGCTAACAGTTTAAATGTTAATATTATTACGAGTATTTCTCTGGTTCTTCAAGAGGTATCAACTCGCGGTTTTTACCATTCTTCTTCTCGTTTACTTTACTTTCATATCATAGCAGGAAAAATATATGGTTCCATTTGGAATTTTCGAAGAAAAAAAATGGCAAATTGGCTGATTTTTCAAACGATGCCATCTAGCGGCCACCACGTGATTTAAATCGACTTGATTCGTGATTTATCGGGAAGATCTGAGAAAACTCTTCATAATGAGATCAAAATTGCTTAATTCCGTTACACCAAACTGTAGTAATAAGAGTTTTTCCAGAGTACTATTCAACCTTCCCTCCCTCTTTTATTTAAAGAGCTAGCGCAATTTTTTTTATCGAAATGATTGGAAATCAACTCGAGAACATGGAAAAAGTGTTTCTGATATGTCTTGATACATAAAATTTTCATGAAAACCCGCTTTTTGACTTGGCAAATGCAATGGGCATGTACACCTAAGTAGAACTTTTAACTCAAACCATGTTTCTAATGATCCTCTTATACATAAATAATGATTGACGACATAATTCGATAGAAAAATTAACTGGAATGTTTTATCTTTGGACATAAATAATAGTACCTTCTGAAAACGGACCCTCTCATGACGTTGAAACCTCATCTCGCCATAGTTAAAAGAAAATACCAAACGCCCGACGGAGACTGAGGCAACTGATATATTAATTCTTTCAACTGTGATCTCGCGCTAATTCACTCTGTCAGAAATCATGTATCATTCATCTCTGTCTGGAATAGTCTTGTTTCAGTATTAGGGTTTTGACGTCACATCATTGGCCTCGTTTTCAGAGGTCCGAAAAATCGGGGATTTCAATAATTTTTTATAAAACGTAGGGAGCTCACAGAAAGAAACTGTTTGCGGTGGTGAGCTAGTTTGGGTGAGTTCTATCGAATTATGAAATACATTTTTTTTGTTATATAAGCCCATTATGCCTATCTAGCGGATGTCCTGAAAACTTGAAAATAATTTCCAGAGATTTCTCTCGGCCAATTTTATCATAAATATTTTTTTCCGAAACCTGTGCGGCAAATAGTTTCCGAGATACAGCCGGCGCCCTTTCTTAGTGGTACACCCGGTACATATAAGTTATAACTCATTACTCCAAAGCCCCGATTCTACTCTCAAAATTACGAATTCCATCCATCATTTTCACTTACAATCCGAGCTGCACTGGCAGAACTTTTCGCAAAAGTTCTGCGCCCCGATGCAGGGACACTCGTGGTCGCAGTTCCTACCGGGGTGGTCGCAGGGCGCGAAATTGTACACGTGATTGCTGCTGGAGTCCTTCTTCAGCTGGATTTTACGGCAGTGCATCGACCACAATCTATGCTTCTTCTTTTTTTTGCTAGGCGGCGTGTAATCGCGCGCAGTCTCAGTTGCAGGAATGTCGGCCGCCTCCTTCTGAGCGAAATGGTAGATCTCGAGAAGGAAAGAGATCCTTTGATATTATACTGCATGATAATAACACAAGAAATAGGCGACAGTTGGTCTTTTATCAAAAAAAATTGACAATTCGGGACATTACAATAGGAACATTAGAGATAACTCTGTGGCAAGGTGGATAGAATATGGTGTAATCACAGACATTGCTTTGTTTCTCCTAAAACGCTTGACCACAGATACCGCAATAATGGCATATTAGTTCTCAGTTGTCCGCAAGATGGCGACACTTTTCACAGATTTCTTCAATGACAAAAAACAGGAAGCGGCGCTCACACACCGCTCGCACTAGAAATAATATCATAACATTCCTAACATACCCTTAAATCAAATGAGATTAGATTTGAGAGTACAAAACTTTAATTTTGAGGAATTTCAATTATCATCAGTTCTACCAACCTTGAATTTTAGTTGAGATTTCGCCATCTAACGGGTACAACGCGACCTATATTCCGCGATATTGAAAATAATCCTTCTGTCAAGTAGGCCGTAGATCAAGAACTTTGACTGAGAAACAGTAAATGGGATTTGATAGGAGTTTCTACACCATCTTCTGTTTATCCTGCTCTGTGGAATCATGGATAATCAACCGAATTTCAATTTCTTTTCACTTTCTGAATGTGCGTTCTATTGTCTATCGAACCTATGGAAATTATTCATGCAGCTCTTTAGAATGAGATTCTACAGGTTGACAAGCAAAGCTGTGTTTGGAATTGTCACACTAATTACTGGAATAAGAATATTACTATAACAGAATGCGCATAATTTGATTGCTGCTGGCGTCCTTCTTCAGCTGGATCTTGCGGCAGTGCATCGACCACAATCTATGCTTTTTCTTTTTTTGCTAGGTGACGTGTAATCACGCGCAGTCTCAGTTGCAGGAATGTCGGCCGCCTCCTTCTGAGCGAAATAGTAGATTTCGAGAAGGAAAAAGAGATCTTTGGATATTATATAGTACGATAACAACCCAAGGAATAGGCGACAGTTGGTCTTTTATCGAGGTCACATACCTTCAAAATCACTTGAAAATGACATTCTACATGATGATAAGCAACGCTGTCCTTGGAATTGTCAAATTCATTACTGGAACGTGACTATGGCTTTATTCCGAATTCAACAGACAGAACTGAATCAGATGATTTTTCATTCCGAAATAAAAATAAATCACTGAAAGTGAAAGAAAATTGTGAGCAGACAGTCCCAAATTAATTTTTTTTTATCGCTTGGAGCGCACGAAAGGGAATCCCTATAATGTTCAAAGAACATCGTGCGTTCCTAGGGAGGATAGGGACAGGAGGTAGGTATTGGAATTTTTTTTGAATTTTGGAGATTATATGTTGTTGGGAATACTTCCACAGGCAATGAATTCCAGAGCCTAGCCGTTCTATGGATGAAGGAGTCTTGATAAAGTGCTGTTCGACATCTTTCGAGGTTGACAACGAAAGGATGTGCTGACTGGGCTTGTCTAGTTCGTCTGGTTGGTATTGCTAGTGAAGGGATGATAGCAGAGATTTCCGAAGAACATTTCCCGTGGAAGTATCGATAGAAAAGTGAAAGGTCGCCGACCTTTCTACGGTGTTCCAATGATGTCAAAGAGTGAGTGAGTGTGGCGTCACCCACCAGGCGAATGGCTCTGAGAAGCTGTTGAGGTGTAAAGTAGCTTTTCGCACGGAACAAGAATCCGAGTTTTTGAGAAGCAGCTTTTGCGATTGATCTGACATGATTATCCCATGAAAGAGTGTTGCTGATGGAAATACCGAGCATAGATATGGTGGGCTTGGTGGGGATGGTGGAGCCAGCATTCTGCTGAAATTGCTGACTATCAAAAGGTAATGTGGCTTCAGTGAACTGTCATTATTTCAGAGGGGGAAGGGATGTAGCATTTATTTCCGTTGTTTTTCAAACATTTAGTCTTGTCTCATCAATAATAAATATCATCATATTTAATATCAGAAAATGCCTGTTATTATAATAATTGACACCTGACCTGACATTCTAATCACACCAGCTGATCAACTGCTGCTGACTGATGAAAACCATGAAAACGTATTCGAAATTACAGCACAATATTTTTGATTTTATATCTCGGGACAGATTTTCAGCAGTCAGTGGATTTACTGACAGTACTGACCAGTTTCATAATTTGATGTTCTAACTTCAATTGGCTGTGTGCTTTTGATTCTAGAACAAACTGTGGTCAAAAATCTTGAAATGATACATGAACAACATGATATAGGGTTGTCCTCAACAAACAATTATGTGACTAATAGAGCAGAGAATTTTTATTTATGAAACAAATTAAGTCGAATTTTCGGCCGGAGATAGGTCCGAACGATTCGCTGTTGTCGTCCAACTAACAGTGCTACTCCTAAGGTGACGTATGGAGTTAGTAAAATAGCCTATACAGAACACACATGGGCTGAAGGACCTCTCGTAAGGTCGATAACCACTTGGTATGTACATACATACATAGCAACGAAGTACATATACTACTACTACTAAATGAACATATTGAATCCTCGTGTTATGACGAGCAATATATTATCTAACGATAAAAGCGAGAAGTGGAAATTACGTTGGAATTATGTGAAAATTATCTGTGAGTTACATAAAAATAATGTGAAAATTACGTGAAGACTATGTGAAAATCACTTGACAGTTGAATTAAAATAATGTGGAAATTACTAAATATTCAATATTCCAATCGAAAATAACTCACTTGTTGGCAGGTTTTGGTTAGCATGATCTGAGCAATGGCACAATAGTTATTGAGGAACACTTTGTGTAGAGCCCTGAACAGACTCTCGTCAGAGCCCGTCCACTCTTTGTGATCGTTCGCTCCTAACAGTCCCAGCAAGCTGAATGAGGTAGTTGTCAATACTGGATCGGTACCATCTGATTCTAAGGAAAAAAACGTTGGAATATCATTTGGGAGAAAGTGCCATTCATTGCTAAAAATCATGGAGGTATCACATAATTCATTTTATTGTCGTATTCTGGGTTGATATCAACATTATGTTCATTCAACACCCTGTATATCGAAAACCCTGTATATCGAAAAAGTAAGTGTAGGAATTTCCTGAAAATTGGTATTTAAAGTCTTCAATGACAACCTATACCCCAATTTCTGAGTGGCACTCATTATTCTTTTGAGACAAATATAGTTAGTTTTAGGGGACCAAATTTCGAAAAATGTCTTGACTTGAAGTCTTTGAAAATCAAAATTACTACGTTATGGGTGTACCAATCATTTTCAGGGGTTAACAATAAAATGTCTTTTGGGAATATATAACTGCCACTGAGTTTTAGGGGACAAAGTTTAAAAAAATGCCTGAATTTATAGTCTTTGAAAATTAAAATTTCTACTTTATGGGTGTACCAATCATTTTCAATGTCTTTTGAGAAAAATATATAACTGTCACTGACTAGTTTTGGGGGATAAAATTTGAAAACATGCCTAAATCAAAATTTCTACTTTATGCGCCTACCAATAATTTTCAGGGGTCAAATATAAAATGCCTTTCGTGACAAATATAGAACTTAACTGTCACTCACTATAGTTCTGAGGAACAAAATTTCGAAAAATCCCTAAATTTAAAGTTTTCGAAAATCAAAATTGCTACCCTATGGGCAAAAAATGCAGCGAAAGACAAAGGAATAAAGATTTTTCAGGTAAATTGTGATCTGAAAGTAGGTAATGTAGTCACTCACAAACTTTTCATTTCAAAAATTTGTCACATCTCTTTGGAATCCCTTCTGCAATAGGAGCTAATAGAGTGAAAATGTCTACAACACACACGACCATAGTCATTTCTCTTTAAGGTGAATTCATGCAACATCAACTAAATTATAATAAACTTGAGATTTAAACGCATTTCAAATTAAAAATATATGGGTGTTCATGCAATAACCTTTCATCAGCTGTTGACTCTTTTTCCAGCACGGTTAGTTAATATTGATTATGAAAGAAATTAATTTCTTAGTTGAATGTTTGCCAACTTCCTATGTAAAAAAATAAGAAAAGTGAGGTTATTTTACCTCCTGGGTCGGTCATTTGTTCTATTGACATATTTCAGAAGTTCAAAAATTCCAATACCTACCTCCTGTCCCTATCCTCCCTAGGAACGCACGATGTTCTTTGAACATTATAGTGATTCCCTTTCGTGCGCTCCAAGCGATAAAAAAAAGCACCGCATTCCGCATTGACAAGCAGACATATCTTGGGACATTGACAGTGATACAGTGACAGTGATTCAACGGCGATATATCAAAACCTTTGGAAGTCAATTATGGAGTACCGCAGGGTTCAGTTCTTGGTCCTGTATTATTTATTATTTATATTAATGATATGCCTTTTACCCTAGCGAATGTGTCTCCAGTAATGTATGCTGATAATGCCACTTTTCTCTCACGCTATTATGCCTTCCAATCTACTCTCCAACGCTAACGAATCTGGAAGTTTCATAACAAACTGGTCTAGAAGCAACTCTCACTATAAATGATGATAAAACCAAAACTGTAGATTTCTCAGCCAAAGATAATATAGAAAATTTTGAACCAGTCAAGCTTCTTGGAGTGTATTTGGATTCATCTATAAATTTCTTACCCCATGTTCAAAAATTATAGACGCGCCTATCAACGTGTATATATGTAATAAGACAACTTAGCAGAATAATAACAACAGACTGTTCAAGGGTAGCTTATTTTCATCATGTCATTCAGATATTATGATATTAAAATTTCAAAAAAAGTCGTCAGAATTCTCCATATCTAGACTCTGCGATCTTGCTTCATATATGTGTTATGCCAAAAAATTAAGAGGTGAAAATAAAGTTACCTGGCAGGAGGACATACACTACCATGATACCAGGGCCAAAACAAATTTGAGACTACCCAAATATAGGTTGAGTAAATCGCAAAACTCTTATTTATCTATCTTTAACTTTTTTAATGAGTTTTAGTCTTCTGACATGAGTATAAGCGATTTTAAAGTAATAATCAAGAATATTCTTTTAGAAAATGCCTTTTACACATTTGAAGAATATTTTGTTCATTTCGAACTTTCAACTAATTTGTTAACTGCCAAATAACAGATATTTTGTGTACTGCTATAATATCTCTGATTTTACGTCTGTATTTCATTGCCAAGAGTTGGGTATTTGACTGTATATTCCCTGTACAATGTTTTTTTTGTTGTTGTTACACTGATTTTAATTTATACTAATACTATGTATTACTATTGACGTATGCAAACACTTTATGTATGTACTGCACGAATAAAATCCTATTCTATTCTATTCTACTAGCTTTTCATCTAGCAGGATTAATGCAGGGCGGTAAATTTTCGGAATTTACTATAACAGATTAATAAACCCAGGTTTGGTTGTCAGGCAGGACCATTCAAAGTAAAATATACCTTTGTATTTGTTACTGTCGTTACTGTCTTCAGAGCTGGCCTCGTTGCCCGAATCGACGCTCTGCTGTTTGCATATTTTCCTAGGATTATTCACGCCGTTCGACTTGATTTCCACCGTTTCTGCAGGCTTCATAACTTTCCCCTTGGTCTCCTTTTCGCATTCTTCCTCCTGCTTGGCCCTGGCCGCCATTTTTTCCTTCACAATTTCCTGCACAACCCTCAATTCACTCATTGGAAACAACAAAAAATTGTGTAAGGTCTGACAAGTATGAATGGGCCTTTCCAGTATCGTAAAATTTGGCCCTTTTTCGCTATAATGTTATTAAGGGAAGTAAAAAACGTTATCCTGGCCACATATTTATTGAGGAAATCGAACAACGAATGGATTATTCAGACGCTACTGTCCTTGCAATTTGATTGGTTGGAGTTTGTGACGGCTGAGAAGCACGCTGCTCTTGCCAGGTCTCTACTGTGTGTCTATTTAGTGCGTAATTCTTCGATATCTCGAAATCGATTATCACAAGAGAAAAACTTTGGAGGAAAAACTTTTTCAGTTACTAAAGTTGCTCATTTCAAAAATATTTCCAACAATACTGGGTGTTCTATAAAAGCGGGACAACTCGAAGACGAGTTTTTTTAAATGGAACACCCAGTATTGTTCATTCAAAATTTATTTCGCTAAGGTTCAGCTCTACATCGCTGTGAAAAAAATTTAATTTGGTTGCGGCGTTGCCATGTTATAATTAATAAACCCAATTTTACTACTATCGAAAGGTCATTTTCAATTGGGTATGGTATATTAATTTATTGAAATTTCGAAAATATTTTTGGCATACAGTAGTAGCAAGGTCTCACGTATACCAATCCAGTTTTCTTGCCAGATAATCCTTCACAGGGTGCTGAAATTTACATTCTGAATATTGTAAGACTCAGACGACGATCATAAGAATTTTTCAAATGGAACACCCTGTATTTTTCATCACAGATTCATTTCGACATCATTCGCCTTTTCATCGCTGAAGAAAAAATCAAAATCGGTTGCGGCGTTTTCAAGTTATTAGTAATTTCCTTATTTTCACTACTATTTCGGGGTAATTTGTACGTCATGATGGTTCCTTTATTTGATTTGAGTGTGGAAATATTGCTTTCCACATGATATTCGAGGTTCTACATAGATCATTCAGGTATTTTTGCGATATGTGCATCGTCCATATTCGAAATATTCCGTAATCTTGTTACTATGATTTGAATAATATGTGAAACAAACAAACATGCCAAAAGCAACGCCTGTCTTTGAAACAACTTCTACAATACAAATAATGAAGATGCGGATTGCGAAAATTAGGACAATTTTTTGAAACTTGGGCCATTTTTATCGTCGTTATTCCCACAATCCAAATCTCCATTTAACTTGAAGGAGGTAAACATAATGATACAAACAATATGTCTCTACTATACGCGGTTTTTGGGAGGGAATTCAGCAAAACGTCGAATTAATCCAAGATATATTTGATTGTGGCGATGTTTGACAGGTTATTACACAAATATAAGTGTATTTCGAGAAAAATTCAGACTTGGAGAGCCTGTTAATGTTCCTATTGTAAAAAAATATACAAATGGTCAATGAACAAATTCGATTATAACGTAGCAACGCAATATTTCCACAATACAAATAAATGAAAGAACTATGACGTACAAATTACCCCGAAATAGTAGTAAAAATAAGGAAATTATCCATATCTTGACAACGCCGCAATCGATTTCGATTTTTATTTCAGCGATAAGAAGGCGAAAGATGTCGGAATGAATTTTTGAAAAAAAATACAGGGTGTTCCATTTGAAAAATTCTGATGAATGTCATCTGAATCTTGCAAAATTTTAAATGCAAAATTGAGCACCCTGTTGAAGAACATGTCGCAAAATTACTGGATTGGTATACGTGGGACCTTGCTTTTGCCGCATGCCAAAAATATTTTCAAAATTTGAATAAATGAATATACCATGCCCAATTCAACATGACTCTTCAATAATGGTAAAAATAGATTTATCAATTATAACTTGGCAACGCCGTAACCGATTTCAATTTTTTTCACAGCGATGTAAAGGTGAACCTCGGCGGAATTCATTCCGAATAAACATTACTGGGTGTTCCATTTGAAAAAACTCTTCTTCGAGTTGCCCTGCTTTTATAAAACACCCAGTAATGTTGAGAATATTTTTGAAATGAACAACTTTAGTAACTGGAGAAGTTTTTTTCCCAAAGTTTTACTCTATAGGTTATGGCTTTCGAGATATCGAAAAATTACGCACTAAATGGACACACTGTATAGGTCTGCTCGTTTGTGTTGCTAGAAAAAATATGCTCAAAGCACGTCTAGAAGATGCGCCTGTCCATTTATGTGGAGCATTTGAACTAGATATGTTCGTTTGTGTGAAGCGAATTGCAACTTATTAATTCGAAAAATCAGGGGTATACAAACTCAACTGTGAATCCTATCCTAAGGTATACAGGGTTGGCCACCAGTAGCGCCTCGCTTTTTAGAAGGCTAACCACTCATCTTCTCGGAAAGACGTTGCATGTCAACATAGGCTACCATTTGAAATCATTTCGAAACATACAGGGTGTCCCCAAAAAAAAGCAATCCATTTAGGTTATACTTTTTTAATGAAACACCCTATATATTATTCTATTTTGAGATTCTCCCTGAAGAGCTGATTTCAACGACCCATCGTACTTGGGGTCTAGCAGTAATAATTACTGAGATATAGGGTGTGAAAAATGGAGATTTCCCAAGTTCAAGGATTGTTTGTGTCGAAACTATTTATAAAATTGGTCAAAATGGTTCACATATCCCTATCTCAATTTTTCGATTGATTGGTATTTCATTAAAATAGATACAGGATGGTCAGATATCTTGATTCTAAACCACCCAGTATTTGTTTTAATCAAATATCAATTGATGGTGGATAAAAAGTTGAGATAAAATTGGTATAAATTCCTAAATATTGCGAAAATTCCTGAAAATTGCAAAAATTCCTGAAAAGTGAAAATTGCAAAATTTGCGAAAATTCCTGAAAATTGCAAAAATTGCAAAAATTCCTGAACATTGCAAAAATTGCAAAAATTCCTGAAAATTGCAAAAAAAACTGAAAATTGCAGAAATTGCGAAAATTCCTGAAAATTAGAAAAATTCCTGAAAATTGAAATAATTCCTGAAAATTGCAAAAATTCCTGAAAATTGCAAAAATTCCTGAGAATTGCAAAAATTCCTGAAAATTGCAAAAATTGCAAAAATTCCTGGAAATTGCAAAAATTGCAAAAATTACTGAAAATTTCGAAAATTCCTGAAAATTGCAAAAATTCCTGAGAATTGCAAAAATTGCAAAAATTGCAGAAATAGCAAAAATTGCAAAAATTTTCAAAAATTCCTGATAATTGCAAAAATTGCAGAAATTGCGAAAATTCCTGAAAAATGGAAAAATTCCTGAAAATGGGAATAATTCCTGAAAATTGCAAGAATTACAAAAATTCCTGAAAATTGCAAAAATTGCAAAAATTGCAAAAATTGCAAAAATTCCTGAAAATTGCAGAAATTGCGAAAATCCCTGGGAATTGGAAAATTCATGAAAATCGCTAAAATTGCAAATATTCCTGAAAATTGCAAAAATTCCTGAAAATTGCAAAAATCGCAAAAATTCCTGAAAATTGCAAAAATTCCTGAAAATTGCAAAATTTGCAAAAATTCCTGAAAATTGCGAGAATTGCAAAAATTCCTGAAAATTGTAAGAATTGCAAAAATGCCTGAAAATTGCAATCAGAGCATTTGATCTTGTGAACGCCTGACTTAGAATGTATAGGGATATGATTTGATTAAAATTTACTTGGCGCGAGACTGAGTTTGTTCTCTTAATTATCTCATCATCTCAAATTTGAGCATGGACTACTACCAGTGATATATTAATTATTTCAACTGTGATCTCGCGCAAATTCACTCTTGTCAGAAATCATGTATCATTCATCTCTATCTGGAATAGTCTTGTTTCAGTATTAGGGTTTTGACGTCACATCATCGCCTCGTTTTCAGAGGTCTGAAAAATCAGGGATTTCAATAGATTTTTATAAAACGTAGGGAGCTCACAGCAAGATTTCATGCGTTTAGCGGCCATATCTGATAGTTTGAATTCGCTGGTTTATTTTGGCGTTTTCAATAATTTTTAGTATGATAAATTGATGAGAAAAATGTTTTTCAAATAGTTCATGGTATTTCAGAGCCATATATTTGGAGATATAATTTTTGTTGAATTGACTGGAAAGGCTCATTTTAGGTACTAACCAAAACCAAGTAGCATTCAGAACCACAGGCTTCTGTGAACGGTTTCAGATCAGGGCCCCTCCTTTTCTGCAAATTTGGACCAGGATGACAAGCTTGCAACCCTAATTTTGGAAATTCAATTCATTAGACAGTGGAAACTGAAGGCAACACATTCACCACAGTAAAACAAAATTTTATATTAATTATTGTTCCTGTTCCCTTTCCTTCCTTTTTTGTGATAAACAACTTATATAATTTTTTGCACTGAAAATTATATCATATTACACAGGGTGTTGATTAAAACTTTTTCGTGGATTTCCAAAAAAAATTGGGTTATGTTTCCCTAGATAAAAAAGATAAAAATGAATATTTAAAAAATTGCATCACCCAGTATTTTGAGAACCATGCATTTCCAGAGCTCTGTATATTTGAACCTATTTTGTCTTTGAATCACTCAAAACACGCACCTTGAAGTTTGACCATATACTTAATAAACACCCTATATGCAAGATTCATACTTATATTTAAAAAATGTACAGTGCAATCTCTGCTTCAATTTTGAGCCAAGAAAAATGTGTACTCAAATTCTACATTATGACATTTTTCAAGTAAAACCAAATAGGCTATAGAACTGGTATCAAATTTTTCAAATCAACAGACCTCAAAGAAATTTCCATACCATTTGAATGTGTTTCAAAGCAGTTAAAAAATAACTTGTAAACTTTCTACATAGAAGGAGAGCAATGAATCATAATTTTTGAATGTTCAGTCAGACAATTTCTGTTATTTTCTGATATAATTCTACACCTGGCAAATTTCTACTGTTTGAATAAAATTGTGATTTCATTCATGATTTTGAGACATTAAAATCATTCAGAAAACTGTCAAACTATAATGAAATTGAAAGCATGAGTGTGTATATTGAGAATAAAAATAAGGATAAAAAATTTGAAAAATCAATTTTTGGTTAGTGATTTCATCTTGAACTGAACTAGAAATCACCCTGTATAGAGGCAAGAAAAAAATTTGTTTCAATTAGCTGAACAATGGAAAAAGTATGTAGACCTGGAAGAAAATTGATGTTCCAAGTGAACTGGAAACTGCTTCAAACTATGAATTAAATAATACAGGGAGTATCATGAATTGCTTTCACCAATTTTCACATAGGCATTCCAAAAATTGGAAATTTGTCCACAAGAAAAGTATACTTCATTGAAAATAAACTGGTGAATAAAAAATTTGTTGAATTACAAAATGAGGTAGGTGACTATTTTTCCAGTTGATGAATATGGTTTTGTATGAAATGAAGATGAGAAGAAATGAATTAATTTTAATTTTACCTTGAGGTCCTACAAAGTGCAGCAAAACAAAATAAACAACCTGATATACAGGCAAAATTTGAAAAAGTCAGTCAACTAATCTAAAAAAAACTACCAAAATTAAATCTTATTGAAAACAAAAGTATCATATCTTTTTTCATGTCATAAAAATACTCACTGTGTAAAAAACAATCATACTTGAAACATCTCCTACAAAACAATGTATGAAAAGAATGCAAAGTTTGCTCTCTAGGAACAGAAGATGCATTGGGTCCATCAATATTTGGAGTACATTCTGGTGGAGCATTTGGATCTGTTCTTTCTGTCAACTCAACATATCTGAAAAAAAAAAACAATAACAATTTTGTAGACATTCATTTTGAAAACATTTTTTGAGGCTTACTTGTCCCTCAACTCTTCAGGATTTCCTTTATCAGGAAACTGCAGAGAAATGGCCTGAAAAATTACAAAGGTGGGAAACTCCAAGTGCTCCTTCTTCTTTTCCTTAGGCTCTTCTTCTGACTTCTCTTCTACTTCCTTCCTCTCTTTTTCATCTTTTTTGTCCTCCTTGTCTCTCTTATCCTTCTCATCCTTTTTGTCTTTATCTTCTTTCTTCTCTTTATCTTCCTTCTTCTCTTTATCCTCTTTCTTCTCTTTGTCCTCTTTCTTCTCCTTGTCCTCTTTCTTCTCCTTGTCCTCTTTCTTCTCCTTGTCTTCTTTCTTCTTTTCTGATTTTTCCTTGTCTTGGTATTGCATCAGTGAGTGAACCAGCTCCACAAACAATTCATCATCTATAAAACCAGATTCTCTATCCCCATGTACCTGTTTATTCAAATAATAAATAAATTTAGTTTCCAAGGGTTGTAGTCATCAGTGAGTAAATACCTTGCCATCATAGTTCTTAATAAGCTCTTCAATGAATGTCCCATCCTGGTCTAAAATTTCATCCCCCATGTATGGGATATTGTGCAGAACAGTCTCATCTTCCACCATGAAATTTTGCTGGATGGGGGCCCAAGTGTACATGGTTGGTATTGGAGTAACAGCATTGATAATCTTTATAGCTGCTACCTGAACATCACCTAAACCAACATTCTCACAGTGGGAAGAATCATGCAAGAAGTGTGACTATTCTTTACCTTCATTACCAATCACTTCCGCTTTCTTCATGCACGTTACATGGGGTGGCAATTCGGGCGTCAAAACCCAGAAGGCTTTGCTGTCGGACCACCGGGTTTGCTCTTCAATAAGGATATCGGACATCTTGTGACGGTTTTGGTTCCAAGCCACTTTGACCTCATCGGCCCTCTTGTACCTCTTTTGTTGTCTCAAACGCAGATATTCTTGCTTCACCCTCCGCTTCCATTCTATACTCACTTTCGCCTTGGCCATCATAGAGTTTTCAATCAACAGGAATACATGTTGGTGAATATCCTTCCGATCGATTTGATGTATCACAAACTCATTGGGACACAATTGTTGAAGGGGAGAGTTGGCATTTTTGATATTCGGATTGATTTCATAAAAAAAATTGATTGGAATAAAATAAAATCCACCGCTCTATAAAAATTAACCACCATCCGAACAGCTGTCCTGTCACTCCTGTCACTTCCCACTTCACTCCTGTCGACAACTGTCAAACTCTTCTTTCTTTTATCACATTTCTAATAATTAGTTGGCACTTTGCCTTTTAAGTAATGCTGAGTCATAGTTATTTGCACGTGATGGATTCGAACTCGCAAGATCAGCATAGAGCATAGTTCAATTATAGTTCTGTCTTACAAAAACTTGACGAAGAAGAAGCAAGTGAAACGTCAGTTTTTGTCAAAGACATGTTTTGTTTCAGATTTGAATGTGAATTTGTGGTTGTATTTTGAAGAGCAGTTATTGTATTCAAAATAATGGCAAATATTAATAACGTGTTGGAATCTGTGCGGGAAGACGATTTCGTTGAGTATTTTCTATTTCCACCCGTGAGCACAGAGGACGAAAATGAACAAGAACTAATTCTCTCTACACTTTTGGATAAAGCTAACAAAATAATTACAAAATACACAAAGGACTACTTGTGGCATAAAGATGAATTCAAGTTGTTGCTGAGGACTTCAACTACTAATTCTCTACATTTTATTGAAGGAAACAAAGGTAAGTAAAGAACAATGAACTTTTCATTACCAATAAGAGTTAAGGCACTCCCTTCCCAACACATGCTTAATGGGTGAGTAATATATTGATCAGTGTTTTTATGGCCAATTCATTTTCCAAGAATTATCGTGATGCTATCTTGTAACCTGATATGAGCTGCAAGTGAACTATAGAAAGGCTTCCTCATCAAATAATATAGTAGGTAGACAAATCCCATGTCATAATCCTGTTCTAAGACACTTGATATCTAATATATGTACAGTATGGTAAATTAGGTGATTATCTCTGAAATACACTTTGTTTTTCTGTGTAGAAGATTTGCCCCCACATCTATATGGTGTTTCCCATTATGGAGACAACATTGAAGATGAATGGTTCATGGTGTTCATACTACAACAACTTACCAAAGAAATTGCTGGGGTCATTGCTAGAGTAGCTGATTCTGATGGAGAATTTTTACTGATTGAGGCTGCTGACTTTTTGCCAAGCTGGGCAAATCCAGAAACTTGTGAAAATAGGGTAAGATGAGTTCAGGTATTTTACTATTCATTATCAACTCAATTAACAATCTTTTGATGTAAACTCTCATGAATACTAGTATCAAAATGTCTGTTTTAAAAAATGAAAAAAAATCAATATGGTTCATCTTCTTCTTTCTGGACAGGCTCAAAAGTTTATGGCAATTAATTCACTATGAGCTTATAATACTCATCAATCTGAGTTTATTTAAATTTACATTGAGAGATACTAAAATATGTGCATATTATCAGTGGAAATATGAATAATTACCTTGATATTACTAATTATATAATAGGACAGAGAAGATTCACCAATTTTTCCATTGATTGATTGTCCTTATTACCCCAAGAAACATTGTTTATAATAGGGATATATACAACAAAACATACATATAACATAATAAATCTAAACAATAATAATTGCACAATTATTGTTTTTCATAAAAAAAATAATTATAATGAATTATAAAATGAAAATATTATAATCCATTTCAAGTAATCAAATTGTGAATGATTAGTAGATATGGAATTAAAGTTAACTGATCAGATATTTATTTAATTTGATTTTAAATTTTTTTGCTTTCATATTCCTCAACTCATTAGGTAAGGAGTTATATAAAATCAATCCATTATGGAATATTGATTGTTTACCAAAATTTTACTTATGATTATTTGCTATCAATAAATTAAATTGTCTTGTTTCATGGGCGTGAATTGTATTTACTTCATTGAAATTCAAATTTGATATTTTCAAGTCCTTCCTGACAAATCACCTGATAATATAAAAAAATACAGGAATTTAATCAAATTCAAATATTAACACAGAGTACTCTTTCTATCTAGTTCTTAATGAAATTCATGTTTTTCAACTCATAATATTGGTTTCTGTTCATCAATATAAAATGAATTTGTGCACACTTTATATTTAATGAATTCAAACATTATATTGTTTATTAATTTGTTATTGTTTTTGAGAAAATGTCAAAGTCATTTAGTAATCCACTATTCATCATTCCAGAACTGTTAAAAGGATAGTGGATATATCTCGGGATATAACATCTTTGATACGCAGCAGCAAAAAAAAAACAGCCACCAAAAAATTTTACCAATTTGTTCACTCTGTAACTTTTTTAATAATTTGTGGAATTATTGTAAAATTTCAATCAAATCATAGGTTTATGTTCCAGAATGTTAGCCTAAATATTACTTCCCATGAAAAGCTGATGACTTGATCATTATACAGGGAACAACCAAAGTTACTATAATAATAATAATTTTATTGATCTTAGAAACACAGGGTTTATAGACACGTCAGGAAAATATAAAATGCAAATACAGATACATGCTAAAATTCTTTGGCGTTACTCAAATGGAATACCTTATTTAAGAAAATGATAAATTCAATGTTCAAGTTTGACACAAGTTTGACTATCATTAAAATCCAGAAAATATGTATAGAAAAAGTCATTCACGACACTCCAAAAGCATCCCTATTTCTCACAACTATTTCGGAAAATTCATGAATATCATACAGTGGGTTTTCAATCAAAGTATGCTCCATGACCTCCTTGAATTTTTTTATTGGCAATTCTCGGAAATCAGTTGGCAGTGTATTAAATAGTTTGATGCATATATTATCTGTTTTTCTCAGTCTATTTGCTCTCAGTACAAGGTCATTTTTGTTTCTTGTGTTATATTCGTGCACATCTGTGTGAGTGGAATATTTTATCAAATTCAATTGAATATTCAATAGATTTTCGTAGACAATAACTGAATATAATGTCATTACTTCGAGATTTTTGAATAGTGGTCTGCACGTTTCATCAAGTTCAGCTGATGCTATACTTCTTATGGCAAATTTTTGTAGCACTCTTTCACCCTTTACTGCTTAAAGACCTGTGGTGAAATTGGGTGGTTGAACTTGGCTCCATCATGTTTTGGATTTAAGTGTGATCCTTGATCATGTGGTGCTCACACTACAAACATTCTAATCTACATGTTGAATACACTGGTCCATCGGATATTATCTTTGGAGTGGGGGCGAAATTTTCTGTGAACTATTGACGCTCTGCCACTAACTTAGATCAGTTTGAATCGCAGCACGTTTGGATATTCGCAAAGGCGACATCATCCCCTTTTATTTGCTTCTTGTTTCAACTCATTGTCATATGACGGAAGTATGTCCGGAATAATATTAGCAAATAAATCGCTGTGGATATGGCTCAGATTGAGGGATGGTACAGGTAGATTTTTTCAATCTACCATCAAATTGGTATCGGATGGCATGATTCTTATCTCGTTATGAAATCGCGAAATCGAGTGCAAACTTCCGCACAGGAAAGTACAAATTTTCAGCCATATCCGTCTAAAATATTTTCATCGATACAGTGTTGCCACTTCTGTCAGAAACAACTAGCAACTTCGTTATTAAAAATGGAGCACCCTGTATTTCATTGCATTTCTAAATTCTTACGTAAGAGCTGATTTCATCAATGCATCACACTTAGGGTCTAGCAGGAATGATTACAGAAATATACTAAATATAGGGTGCTCAAAATCGAGATTTAATTGGAACAGATACAGGGTGATCAGAATTCTGAATCTTGAAGCACCCTGTATTTTTTCCAATTTAATTCCAGTAGATAGTGAATCAAAAGTTGAGATAGGGACATGTAAGCCGTTTTGATCGATAATGAATAGTTTCCACACAAAAAAATCCTAAAATTGAAAAATCTCGAATTTGAATATTTGCAATAATTCCTGCTAGACCCCAATTGTGATGCATTGATGAATTCAGCTCTTCAGAAAGAATCTAAAAATGCAATTAAATACAGGGTGTTCCATTTGAAATAACAAAGTTACTAGTTGTTTCTGATAGAAGTGGCAACACTGTATCGATGAAAATATTTTAGACGGATAGAGAATGTCGAGGAGAATGTTCAATTATCAAAGCATCCCAATTTTCTCCAGATACTTCTAATAGGCCATCCACCGTGGATCACCCTGTATCATATTTTTTTTTCATTTTCGTATCTAATCTTCACAATCTGATACGTTCTCACGACCCTCGAGTCAATCCCTATTCAGCCTCTTTGCTTTCCCTACAATTGAAAGAGAAAAGTTCAGAGAAAAAGTCTGAATTCAAAGAATTATGTATGAAATTAAAAGAGAAAAGTTTGAATCAAAATAGGACGTCTGAATTCAAAGAAAAAGACTGGATTCAACGAAGAAAATATCGGTTCAGTCCAATAAATGAAGGAGGAAAAAAAGGCGAAGTTAACGTTAATTACGCACTATTTTCATCTTCCGGTTGGAAGTAGCTCTTGGTACCTCATTAAACATGAGACAAAGTTTGACTGGAAAACGCGTGCGATGGCGGAGAAAATGGCCCCAAAAGACCAGGAAAATAGGTTTTCAGCCAATATCTCCTAAAATATGGCAGTTAGAGATTTTTGGTTCAGATAAAAATTGAAGTTCAGTTAATTTTCTACAAAAATGGTCCTTATCATTTTTCTCGAAAATTTGCCCGTTTTCGAGAAAAACGGCACGTAGCGCACCTCGAATAATGAGCTTCTGTTGTATGCCGGAGAGCACAGTCCGTGTATTTACACATCGGCGGGGGGACAAATTATTCAATAACTTTGTTAAAAATGCATATTTTTTTATGATTCAAAGTTCATGTGAAAGAGGAATTCTGCTGCTATCATACCCTGCGTGGCCGCATGGTTTGTAGCAGACGACCCGAGCGCCACGTAGAGCACACACGCGGCGAACGACGGAGGAACGAAAGTAATAAATTATAGCGTGTACATTTAGATATACTGTTTTTTTCCCGGGATGTCGAAGGTATGACTTATATACATCGATGGAAAGGTGGGAATTCCCCCGTTACACTAGTTAAGGTGTTAATATGTTAGAAATAAAGAGCACGGAGAAAAAAACCACCGAAAAAAAAAGTGCGTTTTCTCCTTGACCCCGCTTTTTCTAATTTTATTGAAAAATGGACGACTTCGTCTAAAAAAGTAATTGCACAATCGAAAAGTAGACCTACTTAGCTTTCAAATGATGTATCATAGAAACCAATCGGATCATGTATAAATTTTTAATTGATGGTTGTTCACAAAATTTCCCCGCGCTCCAAAAACAGCAAAAAATTGGGATTCAATGAACAAAGATTGAATGAAAATTAAAAAAAATTAGGGTATACAAATTTCAGGGATGACAAAGGACCTTATGAGGCCCCTAATCAAGAAAATTTTGAGTAAATTAGTGCAATACAAAAAAAATAGGAACGAATTCCTGGCGAGGTCATAATTGACCGGGAGCAGAAAGTTTGACCCATGTTTCGATATGGCCAAACGAGTCAAGCGTGACTCAATTCACAGGGTATGATAGCAGCAGAATTTCTCTTTCACACGAACTTTGAATCATGAGAAAATATGCATTTTTAACAAAGTTATTGAATAATTTGCCCCCCCGCCGATGTGTAAATACACGGACTGTGCTCTCCAGCATACAACAGAAGCTCATTATTCGAGGTGCGCTTCGTGCCGTTTTTCTCGAAACCGGGCAAATTTTCGAGAAAAATGATAAGGACCATTTTTGTAGAAAATTAACTAAACTTCAATTCTTATCTGAACCGAAAAATCTCTAACTGCCATATTTAAGGAGATATTGGCTGAAAACCTATTTTTCTGGTCTTTTGGGGCCATTTTCTCCGCCATCGCACGCGTTTTCCAGTCAAACTTTGTCTCATGTTCAATGAGGTACCAAAAGCTACTTCCAACCGGAAGATGAAAATAGTGCGTAATTGATGTTAACTTTTTCCATTTATTTATTGGACTAGTTCTAGAGAAAAAGCCTGAATTTGAAGAATAAATCGAATTTGAGCAGACACAAATATCTCTCACAGGTATATCTGTACGACGGCAACATCCACCTAATCCCCAACACTGCCGGCGCGGCTGAAGAAGCCATCACCGTTTCAGACGCGCTGTCCGTCATCAGGAAGGACCCCGGTCGAACGATGGCGTCAGCCGACATCCAGAGCTGCGTCGGGCGGAAGGTATAATAGTAATAATTATAATGATGATAAATGTATGAGCAGCAGGTACAAATTATACAGACAATGCTTAGTATCTTAATTTCTTTGATGCTTATTTATCGCTAGGATATCATTTCAAGAGGCCAGCCGAGAACAATCAGATATACAGGGTGTTTCTTAAGTACGTGTAGAAGCATGTTGCTGACGTCAAAATAAAAAGAAAACTTCGTATAAATATATGTCCTTCGAGTCTTTTGAAAAGTCATAACTTTTTTGTGCTCTCGAATTTGCGTGTATTTCAAAAGCAGTAGTATTAGATTAGATTTGGAATGGGGCCTTCGGGCTATTTGCCTCCACACTAGCCCCGCCTTCTCTATGAGACTCCATAGGCTAGCTTTCAGATCTCCTGTGTATCTCTGGGCTCCTGGTTTTTCCTCACCCAGCATAAGGAACCTTAGTCTTGACAAGCCCTCACAGTGGCAAAGTATGTGTACTGCTGTTTCTTCCTCTTCTTGACAGAACCTGCACAGCAGTTCTTCAGTCAGACCTATCGTACTCATGTGTTTGTTGAGCCTACAATGCCCTGTGAGAAGTCCCACTAGTATTCTAGTTGAACTTCGTTTCTGGCTTAGTAGATATTCTGTGAATGTTGGCGATGGTTTTTTAATAAACTCTCTTGCCTGTCTCATTCCTGGCGAGTTGTTCCACCATTCTTGAGATTTAGTTTGCATCCATGATTTGATACTAGTCTTTTGTATAGCTTTCGCAATACCACAAAAGGGTTCTGGGCCATTAAGAGCTTTGTTTGCTCCTGCTCGGGCAAGTGAGTCTGCCTCTTCATTGCCCTCGTACCCTGTATGTGCTGGTACCCATGCTAGAGTCAATCTGTTCTGACTGCCTAGTGCATTTAGGGTTTCTAAGCAGTCCCATACTAGTTTTGAGTTAACTTGCATAGAGTTGACTGCTTTGATTGCCGCCTGGCTATCTGAATAGATTGCAATGGTTTTGCCTTTAAACTCTTGCCTTATCAATTCTTTCACGCAATGATGTATTGCAATAATTTCTGCCTGAAACACCGTCGCGTATTTGCCTAAGCTCAGTGAGATTCTTGTCTTTGGCTTGGCCCCATAAATACCAGCTCCTGATCCTTCCTCAGTTTTGAAGCAGTCGTATAGTGGTGTGCTTAACTCGTAGAACAAATACCTAGCTAGTTGAATTTGACAAGATGTCAGATTATTACGCCATTCTACTGTTACTATTACTCCTATTACTCGATTCATTACAATAATGTATGTCATTAAATGTTGAAAATTGAGTTAGCAATGTATGAATGACTCCATATAGTTGTAGATAAATAAATAAATGTCTTTTTGAAAATCCTGATTTTCAGGTGGAGGGCTACCCCGGAAAAGTCGCGGACAACGTCCATCACGCTGTAGTTTACGTGCCGGTAGGCGTCGCGACGCTGTTGCAAGCGAGGCCGAAGCTGATAGCCGCCGCCGTTCATGCGTTTTGCAATAGGTAATTTCGACCACTTAAAAGCCTGTATTTTGTATTGTTACCATAGCAATTGGGAAATTTTTTGACGTTTATTGATAAAAATTGGCGAATTAATTCTATAAGTTTATGAGTTCCTTGCAAAAAAATATATCTTCCAACTTTAGCTAAATGAATTTGTGAGAAACTGAAAGATTGAGCTATTATTATTTTTCATTATTTCTTTGAACTAAAGTCGGTTAATTATGTTTTATAATATTATATGAGCAAATTTCATTGATACTAGATAGTACTACAAGTTTCTTGTGAGAAAATATATTTCTACCTACTTTAGTGAAACGAATTCTGAGAAATTAAGTTACTATCAAATTTTTTTTTATTATTTTGTGTTACTTAAGTAAGTTGATTGTGTTTTATTTACCATAACAATTTCACTAGTGTGCACATGGTGTGCACATCCTCCAATTGTTTGGTCAGACTTAGAGTCCCTGTATATACTTTAGACAAGAGTCCGGACACAAAACTGACAGCCGTTGGGGTTTTTAATATTTTGTTTCATTTGGTTTGCCCACCTGACAATGTGACGAAACACCATAGTCGTCTCGCCCACTTTTTTTAATTATTTCGAATTTCTGTCACTGTCACTTCTGCCTACGGCTATGAACGGTTTGACAAATAATCTAACCCTCAAAATTGTTTCTGACAATCATTGATACTAGGGGAATTGAAAAGACAGAGCTCGATATATATGTCTTATTCCTTTATTCAATCATCAATGCATTTTTTGAAAACAGAAAAGGATAGGAGTATAGTTGTGTCCGGACTCTTGTCTAAGGTATATACAGGGACTCTAGATAGTACTACAAGTTTCTTGTGAGAAAATATATTTCTACCTACTTTAGTGAAACGAATTCTGAGAAATTAAGTTACTATCAATATTTTTTTTATTATTTTGTGTTACTAAAGTAAGTTGATTGTGTTTGATTTACCATAACAATTTCACTAGTGTGCACATGGTGTGCACATTCTCCAATTGTTTGGTTAGACTAACTCTCGATATAAACAATTGAATGCCAGTTCGAAACGTGGGGTTCTCATATTCGATAATAGATGGCGTGAACAATGGACAATTTCTAGAAAATTTTCAAAATGCGTTTCGAATCTCATTATGAAGTTGAACTAGACTCTCAATGATGGGTTTTCCTTCTTTCGGGACCTGAAGAGTCCCGTTGATGTTGCACAAATTCAATAATAGCTGATAAGAAACATCTAGAGACAAGAAGCATCCATATACGTATTAATAATCAATACGGATAATCTCTATCTGTTTCCATAGCGAAACATGAAGCCGATTTTTGAAGACAAATGACTATCCATAAGGAAAAGTGAGATACGAAAGGCTAGTAAACGTCATTGTCCACCGAAACGCATGTCTTTGATGACTACGTATCATGCCACCAAATCCTTATGAATATTCATTTGTTTCATATTTTTGGCTTCATCCTGGCACCCGTTTTGGTCCGTATTGTTTATTAATACGTATATGGAAGCATCTAGAGACAAGAAGCATCTGGAGACAGGACGCGAAAGAGACAGGGCGCAACTTATCCGTGATCTTGACTTTGACATGTCTGTCACGAGTGTCATGTTTTTGGCTTATACAAGATTTTGTTCAAATTTTAAATAAATATAAATTCAGAGCATTAGTAGTTTATTAAGCAGGTATTGATATATTATTAGTTGAGTGAGTGTATTGTGCTTTCATCATGGACTGACTGCTGCAATGTGTGAGGATTATTTGAAAATCCGAACATTTGTTTTATTTTATGTACCAAAAGTGAGTAAATAAACTATTATCACAGGATTTTCTTGAGTTAGGACTTCGTGTCATTCATGAATTCGGTAAAAGTGCACTTATCATGCGATGGGTTTTTTTTCGAAAAATTTTTTTTGGTACTTACGTATTTTTGTCTGAAAAACACGAATTTCATAATGAAAATGTGAACAAACCACTATTTATCGAGATATTTCAAGAAAAAGTTCGAAATTTCGCCTTCTTTTCCCCCTTGTGTTGGATGCATTTTACAGGTACTTGCTCTTATTATTTTGTCATTGGACACTTTATATACTCATGATGTACTTCACTGACACATTTTAAGATAGAAAATTCAACAGGAAATATGATTTTTATGGCGAGTTTTTCCTATTTAGTGAGCACGCATACTAGATGACGGCCATTTAATCCATATATGCAATCCTCTTTTCACTAAATATCGATAAATCACAAGAAAATCATATTTCTAGTTGACTCATATAATAAAAAAAATGTGTTCAACATTGTGTGATATATATAAATTGTCCAATGATGGAAAAAGAAGGGCAAATTGTTCTAAATGTGATCCAGAAGACAGGCGGAAAAGATGGTGAAATTTGTAACTTTATAGTGAAATATCTTAATAAATAATGGTTTGTTCACATTTTCATTATGAAATTCGTGTTTTTCAGACGAAAATACGTAAGTACCAAAAAAAATTTTCGAAAAAAAAACCATCGCATGATAAGTGCACTTTTACCATGAATTCACCATTGAAAGTCGAAAATATGACGCACCATTTCCATTTGAATATAGCACTCAAATGAATGTGTCATGATGGCTGTTTATTTGGTTTGAAACTTCGGAAATTTAGCAAGATTCTCCCACGCCTCGCTATTTTTACAAAGTTGACGAAATCGAGAGATTTCGAAACTTCTTTCATTAGGAAGTAATAACACCATTTCACTTCCTATACATCTATCTATACGATAACAATGTTATGGATGTGTATTTCATTAATACTATGTACTGCTTCGAATTCCATGTAACAAAATATGTTTCCACCAACGTTAGTGGAATAAAGTTAATTGAAAATGATGGTTTGAACTACCACCAGCTGCTTTATTAATATTTTGTTCAACAAAAGTCAGTGTTTTGTATTTTATTTAACGTAATCGCATACTAGTATTTTTTCAATAATATTTCGGTGTTAAATTTTCTTACTCAATACA